AGGAATTTAATTCACTCTAAGAGGATTAAAAAAAAAGAAGAAAGTAATGTGGGCACCCCGAACAAGTGAAACAATGTTACTGGTTCAGAAATACGCTTTTAATATTTTATCTCCATTTTCAAAATTAATCTAGAAATTTGTCGCACGATATAGCAAGTTAATTAGTTAATTCAAGCAACAACAGCTAAAAAACAGACAGACAAGCAAAAGAAACAAGCAAAAAGAAACAAGCAAAAGAAACAGCCCCTACCAACCTGAGAAGATGATCTAGTAACTTGCCATTCTCGCTAAAGGAGTATCAATACAGAAAGCTCACTATAGCACACAGCCATTTTAGCTACACCATAATGTTACACATTTCATCTTTCTTATATGCACCTTTCACAGGCTGGACTATGTGGATCATAAATCACAGTTAATTCTTGTAAACACCCCTTTGCAAAAGCAACATGCAAGGAGTTTGTTTTGTCTTTCAATTTATAGACTTGCAATATTAATCACCTATATGATTCAATGAATCAATATTATTACTCACAGGATATAAGCCACCAGAAAGGGCCTTTCCAAGAAGGATTAGATCAGGTCTCACATTTTCATGGTCCACAGCAAGCATCTTCCCCGTTCTGGCTAGACCGGTCTGTATTTCATCAGCAATAAATAGAACCTTCACAGAGATAAAAAGAAGAAAAATCCACATGTAAGAGAAAACAACTTTCATTTCCATACCTAATTCTGACCATGATCTTTCATCATAGCAGTAAACAATACAGCAGAGTCACATACAGTAACTGAAAGACCTCTCAGTTAGATTACACTTTCTTTACCCCTCCAAAGCTCCTGGACAATACATATTCTATGAAATGTCAGACTACTGGTGAGTGAACATACTGTCCTGTACAGCAATCTCTCTCTGACATCTTTAGCATAAAGATATTTTCTACACAAGGCAAGCACCACACAATCTATTTAAACAGAATCATTTGCAACACAACCGTGAGTGGGGTTTCCAAAAATGTAGTTTGTCTGTCTTGACTCACAGTACATCATTAGGAAGTTGACCTTGGGAAACTTCTGGAAAAGGCCATTGTAGTGACTGTGCTGATTCTGTAGTCTGGTCTTTAGAATCTAGGTCCAAGTTCCTGGTTGCCTTTCCCTAATTTGCAAACTATCGTCATGTGCTATCATTTATAAAAATATCTCTTATTTTTCATGAGACATAAGAACTGCTGTAATATGGAAGCCATTTTTATTGATTGTATTTTCATACCTTCCTCTGAAAATCTGGAAGGGTTTGTGGGTAGCACTTTCAATTTAAGAATCAAGAAGTTCTACTGGAACAAAGGCTATTAATTTTTAAATCACACAGGCTTCACTAAGAGAATAGAAAGTCAAAGGTTGGCAGACCTTTTGTCTTACATTTACAAAGGAGATGGCCTAGGCCTGGGGGAGAAGTTGACCAACTTGGTCCTGAAGTAAGAAGGGAAGGCAGCCTGCTTAGGAAGCAATAAACAGTGAGAACTGAAGGACACAGAAATACAAATAAACACATTTTCCCCCTTCCAGAGACATTGAACCCAAGTCTAATTCAGTGTGCCCTCACTATAGGAGGACAAAAAATACATATTAATTCTCCATTTTCAAAATGAGAGAAAATTTTTAAAGAGTGCATCAAGTCTATGCCTTGCAGATGTAGCCAGTAAACAGAGCAGGTGGTTTTAAGCCACCTTGTCACAGTGAATTCCTTACATTGTGCTTCGTGCAGAGGTCCCGCACTCCCGTGAGGTACCCGTGGTCAGGAACAACCACACCAGCTTCCCCTTGAATGGGCTCAACCATGAAAGCTGCTACGTTGGAATCCTGAAGTGCCCGCTGAAAAGGAATGGTACACAGGAGGAAGGAGAGAAATAAAAACTGTTATTCAAATGAACTAAAAAAAAAAATGGAAATTAATATAGGTAGTAGAACCTAGCTCTAATCCTGGTTTTCTGTCTCAAAGGGCTCTAATGGCATGAGTAGCATTGGTGACATTGCAGTCACAACACAGAGACTTATGTCACTATGCATTTTGAAAGATTAGCTGCCGTGCTTGCTCAGGAAATTAGAAACGTTAAGAACTGCAAACCTAGCAAGGAGATTATCAGATCAGTTCAGAACCTTACACTCAGCTTGCATTACCCCACACAAGACAAACAATTGCTCAATGCTACCCCAGTTAACCTTCAGAAAAAAAGAATGGAGCCTCTCCAGAACAATTTTGTCATCTTAGAGCAAACTCTACAGATGGAGTCTTGCACCATCAAGTCTTAAAAGGCTTAGAGGTCCAAGAGAGCCAAGAAATAAAATCATTCAAAGGATTTAGCTTCGGAATCCAGGTCCCAACTCTGGAATGTTTTCTACTTAACTGTAATATAATTCAGATACCTGCTGTTCTTCAGTTACACTTGGAACAGCTTAATAATGTGAGAGATGATAGAATGCATTGCATGGTTTTCCTTTTATATTCTGCAGCAACATCAAGACTAATACATAATTCACATACATTTCCTATAAGAAATTATAATATGCATATTCCTTTTATGTGTCTAGGGAGGTATTTCTTTAAGTACTCTTTTCAAAGGATAGATTTTTCAATTTTGCTGCTTTGATATTTACTGGAAAGACAGTGTAAAATGATTTATTAAAAGGAATAAGAGAATACCTCAAGAGCTGGTAGGTCGTTGTATGGGATGACCTCGAAACCTGGCATGAAGGGTCCAAAGCCATCATAACTGGAGGGGTCAGTAGAACTAGAGATAGCAGACATCGTTCTGCCCCAGAAGTTGCCAGCTAGAAAAAAAGATAATTCCCGAGCATTTAGCCAACAAGTTATGATGTATTTTCAACTAAGACAGTTGACAGGCAGGTATATGATACAAAAGTAAGAACTGAAAGAGTTTATAGGGTAATTAAAAATCATGCTTTGCAGTTGGTAATGTATTTTAGGAGGAGTATAACATGTGCATCCTTCTGTCAATTGTTAGCATTTTGCATTAATCCTACAAAAAGATCATATTAAAGGCATATTTACATACAAAATGTGCGTATAAAAGCATATTTTCATATAGCATAGCTATATTAAAAGCATAGTAGAAAAGCAAGAGAAAATTATACAATATGAGCTGGCAAGTGCACAAATTTTCTGTAAGCTTTGTTAGTAATCTGAGACACTGAAAATAATGCAGGCAGGAAAGTATTACACATTTTTCTAAAAAGAGATATTATCTAAATAATACTCATTAAATGCAGGAAGAAAGCAAATACCACTCTGAATTTAGGAATTTAAAAAATAATAATAAAATATATGTTTTTAAAAACTTTAATTAAGCTTTAATCTAAATTTTAATTAAAAAAACTATAAGCATTTCAAAGTTCCAAAATAAAACATTCATATTGTTTAAATATTATAAGATTGCACTGTTTCATAGAGAAACATCAGTTAATGGCTAAGAAACAACTATCACCAAGACAAAGCAGGATCTACTATTTTCAATATTCCAGTTAAATCGGTGCACTCCCTGCTAATCAATAATAAGGTTCTTATCAAGATGAAGGAGGTTTGAGGACCCACTGCCCAGCACAGCACCTATGCCATCTGATGTGTAGTCTTCTTTTTTTTTTTTTTTCAAGCTACTAAAAAGAGCCTTTTTCTACCAAAATGCTGAGCTCCCACGAGAAGAGGTTTACTACCTTTTCCAATTAATTGTTATGGTTAAGGGGATGACATCATAAGAAATGAATGCATATCCAGATTATCAAGATGGAAAACCACTGATGAAATATTAACTCACTAATGAGCAAAAGTTGACTAATGCGAAGGAGGAAGAAACATATCTGTTTAAACAAGTCCCAAAAGTGAAAAAAAATATATAATTGGTCCTAGAAAACACGATCCACTATTTAACTCTGAATTTCAGCCTAAGTGCTATCTAATGACAGTTTATGGTTCAGCCACTGTAGGTACCAAGAATCAGAAACTGTCCTTGCAGCTGTAGCGAACAGAAATCAGTATTTAGTCAGATTTATTAGGAATCCCAACAATAGTAGAATTACTGATTTTAAAAAAATCACCTATAAATAAAAAATACTAAGTTTAAGAACACTAATATATAAACTTATTTTTTAGCAAAACACAATGGTCTCCTCAGTCACAGGTAACTTCTCTGTGTTGCAGCCAAGCAGAGTATATAAGTGAAGGCAGGAAGTATAGCACCCATAATCAGGACTTTCCAGGGTCCCATTATTACCAAAATTACTGCTACCCTCAAAGCAAGATCAAGATTACAATGTGCCTTTACTGGGATAAGGCCAACTTCTGGAGTACCCTTAAAAATATAGAATAAAAACAGTAAGGAAAGCATGAGAGGGAAGCAGAGTTTTTCCACCTGCAGAATTGACTGTGGGGCTAGCAGTAATCTCCCTATACAGTTCACAAGGAAGGTATCAAAACAAACAAACACCACCACAGGGGCTATAAGTCACTTCAACAATTTAAGGTTAAATTTGGTATTAATGGATCTGAGTAACTAGAACGATATGCATAATATTATGTTAACAAATTTAGCAGGTTATATCTCAGACTGAACTGCACAATTTAGAAGGGAGCATTTACAGAACCTTAAGGTCCTGCAAAGACTGTTGGAGACACAGAAGTAGTTTTTAATCAGAATTACGAACTGCAGGCATCTCTGAGTAAACAAAACCCTTCAAAAAGTTGGCATCTTAGCTCATGTTGCCAAGACATTGAGGATCACATTTTACATAGACCTTCAGAAAAAATAAACAAACATTAGGAGCGCTGCACAATAATCCCAACAGCCAGAGGAGAAACAGTGTAATAGCCAGTGAGTAGAACTCTCTCTTATCTCATTACCAGTTTGCATCTTTCACTTAACATACCTGCAAAAAGAATTTTTGCTTTGTATTTTGGAATTCCTTTCACAGTGTATGCCCACTTCCGAGCCAGCTTACAGGCTGTTTCTCCAGCTTCCACTCCTGAAACAGAAAGCAATACCATTATGCCATTTTTATGTGAAACCAACCATTGAGGCAGGACCAAACATTACAAGTGTTGGCTCTCACAGACCAGAAATAAAATGGAGATTTTTCTTTTTTTACCTGTGTTCATTGGAAGAACCTTGTTGTAATTGAACATTTTGGTGACATACTCCTCATATTCACCAAGTACATCATTGTAGAATGCTCTAGAGGTAAGGGTCAGTTTTTCAGACTGAGCTTTCAGAGCATTGACGATCTTTGGATGACAGTGGCCTTGATTAACAGCACTGTAAGCACTCAGGAAGTCGAAATATTTTCGGCCCTCAACATCCCACACATAAACACCTAAAAAAGCAAAGGTAAGGCAAATGCACAAGATAAAAGACAACATGAGCTAATGCTGACTGTATAAGCTAAGAGGTACACAGCAACCTACCCAAATGCAACTTATGTTTTCGTTATTCATTAGGATATAGAATCATAGAATACTTAAGGTTGGAAGGAACCTGAAGAGGTCATCTAGCCCAACCTCCCTACAAAAGCAGGGTCACCTAGGCAGTCTAACTGGGAAACAATCAATTGACAAGAGCAGCATAAGGAAGAAGCTAGTAGAGTATAAATAAGTGCCCAACAGGAATCAAGGAAAGGAGCAGTTCCCCTGTAAAAATATAATTTCTCTAAGTTAGTAATTACATTTCCTCAGAGTTCCTGTTTTGAGTCCTATAATGATGATAAGGAAGATTACTTCTTTAAGAGAGCTTTGAGTAAACAGCAGGTCATAAAATAGTAAGAACAGAGCTTGAGTGATTTCAGAACTTAGAAACTGTCAGATCTGAAGAATCAAAAATTGTTGTGATAATGAATAATAGCGTTTTTGTGAAAGCTAAGAGAATTTAATCTGCAGAGCAGAAAAGCTATTTAAACATGGTTAAAAGTTAGAGTAAATTAAGCTAGAAGACAGTAACAGTACACAAGGAATAAAAGTGTAATATAGTATTACACGTTCATCTCAAAGTTGAAATTTTGCACGCAAATGAGAGAACAGAAGAAGCAAAGTTGCTCAAAACTATTAATGAGTTATTCTGAATTAAAGTTCTCAGATTTCCATTTAGATAAATCATTTTAGAGAGTTTATTTTTTCCAGGTAGCCTTATGTAGAATGATCCAGTTCTCTGACAGAGGCCTTCATTTCATCAATACCTCAATCTACAGAAAAACAGGCAGGAATTAGCGAGGCCAAAAGCATTATACAGACACCACACGGCCCCGCAGCCCCAGGGCCAGCCGAAGGGAATACCTTTTCCTTTTTCCAGAGCAACAGGCAGCGGGTGATAGTTGTGGGCACCATATTTAGCCTCACGTTCAAAAATGTACTCAGAGGATGGGGGTCCTTGGATGGTTTTTTTAGTGGCGACGGAGGTAGCAGATCTCACGGAAGCGTGAACACCCCGGCAGAGAACAGCAACGGTCTGAGAGTGGGCTAGCTTGGAAAACATTGTTGACTTCAGGTGCACTGCTATAGAAGAAAAAAAAAAGAAGTTAATAATTACCTTTAGCGGTTTCTGAAGAAATGTAGGATGTGATTAAAGTGCTCTTACTGCCACAATAACAGGTTTCTCAACTTCTTCGCAACTCAGTTAAGACTGCTTGTATGAAATACAAATTAATGCAGGGCACTACCATCAAATAAGATTTTTTTGTATTTTAATGTACACTCACAGCAGTATAAGGAAGGTTTCAATGTTTGACTGAACAAGTCTGTGAACTAATCATATAATTTTACATACAACTGTTCCTTTTTCAGTCTCTAAATCTATTAGCAGAAGCTACATTCAAGTGAGAATAAAAGCTAAGTTCATCAAACTTCTTGTACTGCCACTGCAATGCCTTTCAAACAACAACAAAAGTTTCCTCAAGTGAAACCCTGACACAAAATCATTAATTAAATAACATACTGTGAGAAGCATCTGACCTGAATAACATTTAGCTGGTAATATTAATCAAATTTGATAAAGGTTAAGCCACTTTTAATCTGAGGTCACCTTTAAGAAGTGAGTTTTTGTGAGTTTTTACATAAACTGTGTTCTCAATGTTAAAACATTGCTGTCTTTACGTAAATTACTCTTTATAGCACATTATATTTGCTACAGAAAATTTAGTGATTCCTCCTGACCACATAATCTTATACTATCAACATCTAAGGATAATCTGAGGTGCAGGGTTTCCCGAGACAAATACTCAGGAATATGCTGATCACATGGACTTCCACTGCTTTTTTTTTCTCCTTTATCCGCCCTTTCAGAGTGACCAAGTCAATGAGCCTTCAAAAGGAGAATACAACCACAGTCTAACTCAAATTCAGTAATCATTCACTAAAGAGTACAACTAATACTTCCAGGCTTACATGACTACTGTTTCTGTTTCCTTCTGTAGAAACAGAATGTTTATCTAACTTGAGAGTGGGGAGGGGAGCTTCGCAAGGTCCAATAATCTTTTCATATTTTACAATATATTTTACAATGAAATACAAGTAGCCTCTACAATGCTGTGATTTCACCATCAAATTATGGTACAGTATTAAAAAGCAACTATAAAGACACAACACTGGGACAGCACATCTGGAAGCTTTGCAGCAGAGTTCTGCACCATTTCAGTGCTGGGAAAGCTCTAACCCAGGAAAGATGAGAATCTCTGTCTGTAAGGAGATAGAAAGACACCTGAGGAAAGGTTATTCTACATGTGTCCTGTTTCTGCTTATAAAAATATAAGAGCAGGAAGAGCAGATGCAGTAGAGTGCCCCAATAATCAAACACAGCCTCCTTTGTAACGTGTCTGCATCAAGCTGAAGATGAGGCTGAAGCACAGCCTGCTTTCCCTTACACCAAGGCAACAAGCTGGAAGCAGGACATTGTGTTCCTAAACGAGGAGCCTGCCCCTGAAGGAGCTGCCCGGGGAAGGATCCGAAAGCCACGCTGGCACATCCTCTCCTCCGATCTGCCTAGTTTTCTAGGGAAGTTTCTAGCCCCGCTGTTGCCACTTTTCCAGGGCTCCGTGTAGCAACCGTTTCTGCAGCGCGCTGCACTCCTGCTGTTCCCCACAGCTCTCTGGCAGCTGGACAGAGGAGAGCTTATGATTCCGTGCAGTTGGAAAAAACAGCATCCAAATGACTAGGATTTGGCACCAAGGAGGAAACTTATCTCTGATTTCCCACCTTCTTATAAAGAAGGAAGAGGTGGCAAGTGGGGTTTGGAAGAGCTGAAAACCTAACTCCACACAAATGCAGGCAGCTTCCTTCCTCACACTGCTCTATCCATGAAGAAGGATAAGCATTTTAATGGTCTGGGCAATTTGTCTGGTGAGGGTCTGGCTCTCTATCATATTTGCCATAACTCATCATGTAAGAAAACCTGAGTGTGAGATATGCTTAGTATTTTCTCTCTATTCCTGTCTACAACAGGATCTAAGGAGCCCCAGTTGTATTTCGCAGTACCACCTAATAGTAAAAAGCATTCTGTAAAACTTAACTAAGTAACACCTACCAAATATTAGCAGGGGAACGCAGGGAGAGGTTACAGTGGGGGACTGCTATTTTAGGCTGGTTGCAGAGACACAAATATTCAGTCATGGATTTATACTAAATTTGTATTGGAAGAAGACTGCACACAGGATGCGTCTGCTCAAACAGAGAGGCAATTTTTCAGCAGACTCCTCCTATTTCATATTGCCACTCCTCACTTGTAAGCAAAGCCAGGATATTATTTTCCACGTCTACAGAAGTCAGCGAGGCCCCTGGAATCTTTAGGAGTCATCAATCGTCTCCTTTTCCAGCAGGAGATATTTGCAGTTTCTCAATTCTGGGCATTTTACCAGCTATTGTCACTGTTGTTAAATATTAGTCTTTTGTGTTAATACTTTTCGAGACGGTCATACAAAGATTTTACAAATAAAAGGTCAAATACTTTTTTACGTAAGAAAAAAGCTTGGCAGAAACCCAGCTTCATTGCTCCAATCACAATTACGACTTGCCTAACTCCTTAAATATAATTGGTCTGCAATGCCATGGCCCCTTGACACACCTCCACGGCAGAGCAGATAATGCTATCGCCAACTGCCCTGATTTGGGCTATTTTCCAGGCATTCCCAACACGAAAGCAGTAGAGAGGTGAGACTGTCATCTAGCCGCTATTAGACATTTCTGCAGACAGAATCCCAGGCCATGGAGTTGGTTCTTTCACTTCCTCCAGGAAGGTAAGTGTTAATCGGGAGCTTTAGAAAGGATTTTTCCACTCTGGGCCCTGCACAATTTCGCTGGCGAGGCCAGATGGTTTTAGCCGAACTGCGAGATGTGAGTTATGAGGAACAGGAAATACGAAGCTGGGAATTCTGGAGGCTTCCAGAGCGAAGCTGCGAAGAGGAACCTCCTCTGGTGAGCAGCAGGACGAGGGTGAGGGAATCTCAGCGAAGAGAAGGGGCATGGTAAGAGGGGGGAAAAGAGCCTCCCGCTCCCCGCGGAAGCCGCGCAGTTTCATCAGGCGGCCGCGCTCTTGCATCAGCCCGGGGAGCTGCCGGCGGGGGATCCCCGGCTCGCGGCGCCCGGAGGCCCGGCCCTGCCCGCACCGCGCCGTCCCC